CTACCGTCGCCCTCGAATAAATATGTACAGTGCTGTTCAAAAATATAGAATCGCCTACTACATGGAACTTTAAAAAAGTGGCCAGTGTGAAAGACTGTTATCAGCATATGTTTTAAGATACCGATACATAAACAAAAACCCCATTGACCAAAACAACAACAATAACGGCCAAGTTTGTCTCTAGAAAATGACAAAAAAAAACAATTCGTATCATAAATGGAGACAACTTGTTATTTACTTATCAATGGGCTTAGATTTCACTTCTGGTAACTGATTTATATCAAGTCTAATGTTTGATTTTGATCTTGCGGCCTGAAAGAATAAATTAATTAATCCTTTTTGAGCATTAATTTTGCATTTTGTGAGATATTTTTGACTATAGCTTAGAGACACTAACTGGAAACAACAATGAAGGGGCAAATGTCGCAGGACGTAATTGATCAGACATTTTCGTATAGTATTAATTTCTTTTCTTAAAATGAGTAACAATTTACCTTTGTTACATTTCAATGTATGTTTCACGAGTTTGTGTATATTTTTTTATAAAATGGAAAAGCTTAAACTTATATGGAATCAACATTATACAAAAAGAAGTAGAAAAAATAAAAATTTTAAAGTCACGCCACATACACAAACAGACAAAATCCGTACAAGTTCGAAAAAGTCAACTCAGTCCTATGCATTTCATCTTAAAACATATGCTGATAACAGTCTTTCACACTGGCTACTTTTTTAAAGTTCCATGTAGTAGGCGATTCTATATTTTTGAACAGCACTGTACATATTTATTCGAGGGCGACGGTAGTATGAAATGTCAACGGATTTATTAAATCGAGATTTACAAAGGTTGACTGAAATGTCGCTGTTGATATCCCATCGCAAAATGTGCAAATCTGTATTTTCAAAACTTTATTTCATCGCTAATTATTTAAAATATCGCTGCTTTGCGTCAGACTGATGAGCGTAAGTTACCTTGGAACAATATTCTCTATGAATATGGTGTCATTTTAACACTTGCTAGAGCCAATTCTTGGATCAAACTAATGACATTGTACAAATGATTATTGAACGGGTGGACAATTGCTGCTACCATCTATTCGTTAACAATTAACCCCAATATTCGCAAACTTATTTAAAAACGTGGCAAGAAAGATAAGTAATTGAAGCACTGCTTCAATTACTTATCTTTCTTGCCACGTTTTAAAAGTGTTGGGGCTGTTGTGGGGTTTGTTATGAGGACCACGGGGGCACGGTTTGTATATTATGTTGGCGAGGGGTGGGGGCGGGGACAATTTTTTA